CTTAAACTCCAGCATAATTCAGAGGATAAACGGGATAAACTTTGACCCTGAGCCGAAGGAGGTCAAAGGAAAACATTCAGACTCTATCACATCACTTCAGTGCATGTTAGCAAAATTTTAAAAAGAGATAAAGGAATGTATGCGTTGCAGAAGCTGAGCTGCAGCTACAGACGTTTATGTAACTACTATTACTCAGGAAGATCTGGTAGCCAAACTTGTGGTTAAGGTTAACGCAGAGCAGAGGCAGAACATTAGTTTTCTTTTCTTTTTTTTTTTTTTTGCAGTGGTACAACTGAAAATGGGGCCTCTTGTAAATCTCCTCTCCCCTCTTGTGGAAAATTGTAGTGGAAACATTTCTGCTGTTAGTCATACGTTCTGCATTTCCCAGCAATAACGCCTTCCTCAGTCCTTTTTCCAATAAAACAAAAAAATCCTGTTCTCATTATCATTTTTTTTTTTCAAAATCCAACCTTAAAAGTTTTTACAGTCGACCTCAACAACAAACACACTCCCACAACCTGTGATCCTTGCAGAGACAACATGTTGCTGCGTTTGGGGACTGCCAGGAAAATGTCAGACCACCAGCTGAATCACTGCAAGCTTCTGGCCCATCATCCATGAAACAGAGTAACGTTCAAACAAACAAAATTCCTGCTGCTCTCTTTCTGCTTTTGTTTTGGAAAACTTTCCTACAGAGCTGCTGGGGCAGAAGAAACGTGGACTCATCCACTTTTTTTCTTTTCTTTTCTTTGCTTGCTTTCTTCTCTTCTCAAACTAAATGGCTTCCTGTCTCAGAGATTGATTGCAGCCTTCTCAGTCACAGTCGTCTCTGAGTCTCACTGCTTTAGGAACATTTCCAGATATTTGAATTGTGGCTTTTTTAAAGAGGTAGAAGCAACAAATATCTGGCCTGCTGTAGAATATTGCTCTGGGCTCCTTATTAAGTGGAAAATCAGATCAGTTGGTCCTGGAACCTGAAGTCAACGTCTAGTTTTAGAGAAGTCAAGAGCAAAACTGTCTCAATTTTTAACTCGTTACAAACCAGATTTGATCATCATTGTTATGTAACAGTTTTGGTTCTGTTAAGTTTTCTTTGAGTTTTCAGTTTCACGTTAATTCATGTATTTCTTTGTTTTCTAGTTTCTAATTTGTTGTGTTTTCTGGATGTATTAGAGTTCTCAGATTTTTCTTGTTGCCCTCTTGTGTTGGTCTATCTTTTCCCTAGCTCCTTTCTAGAGGCCTCTGTTCCCACCTGCTCCCATTGAGCTCGTTAGTCCTGTCTTTGTTCAGTCAGTCATAAATACTCTCCGTGTGCAGTTCCTCAGTGCTGGTTCCTAGTCTTTCTTCGTTTTTTGATTTTTTGATTCATGCCTCTGTTACCTGTGATTACTCCATCAAAACTAAAAGAACTCACCTCGGCTTCCTCGCCTCTGCGTTTGGTCCTCAAAACCTCAACCAAACCCTGACAGGTTATTGCTGAACCCATTGCCATATTTGAAGCAAGGTACATTTTTTAATAGAACTATTTCAGTAAGCATTGTATTATTGATTTCATTAACTGCCTTACTTTGCTCTGAGAAGAAATTATTCACATTATTTAAGCACGATCCGAAAACCTCATATTGGTAAGGACACTTAAGCTATGGCGGCAGTGCATGCGTGGTCGCCATAGTAAATGCTATTGAAAAACTCCTGGGCTGGGCTGTGTCCGCACTGCAAAAACGATCTAGAATAAGAAGAAATTTCTTAAATTAAGTGTATTTACCATTAATTTGAGTAGGTAAATGAGAGTTTGCAAATGGAGTATGAGTATTTTTACTCTTAAAATAAGATAATTGGATAATATGCATTTGAAATAAGACAATGCAATTGTGTTTTCTTATTTTAAATGTAAATTGTCTTGTTCCATTTGCAAAATGTCTCTTTTACCTCCTGAATCCAAGAACAAATGCATTTGTTTTAAGAAAAATTACATATCTTGATTTAGATTTTTTCCAGCATGACAGTCCGCCCTAATTGCTACACCATTTTAGATGAGTGTCCGATTGTCTAGTGGATGAAAAAGTACTCGAAATTTCTTACACTGCACCTTGAAAAGTAGTCATCATCCATGGTCACTAGATGAGCAGATATATCCTGGAATGCTTTGCCAGGACTGATCTACCCGCAAAGCATTATGGGATTTGTTGTCAGAATCAAATGACAGTGGCGACAAATAATACCATACAGGTAGGCGGAGTCACGTGACCAACGGGGAGCAATAAGTAGTGATCATCTGTCCATAGGTCAGTTAAATGAGTCACTATATAGTCCCTGCTCTATATAGCGATTGAGGGATCTAGGGATTATGGTGGACGTTTGGACACAGCCCTGGTCATTATCAAGGAACTTGAACCAGGAAGCAGTATGTTTCCTGGTGCTAATGCAGTTAGCATAGGGACTGACAGTAACCGATCCATCCCGGAAGCACAATCCGTCCTGCGCGAACAGAATAACTTCTGGGTAGGCATTACTTTGTTTTTCTTCCTTTTTTTTTCTTCTCTTTTTCCGGCAGGGGGCTCCTTTTTAATATTTTTGTATTTGTGTAAATGTTGCATATTCAGAAAAAGAAAAAAAGCAATACACTTTACTGTGTATTACTGTGATTACTCTAAACATGTCCGATAATGACGTCACACAATACAATGGAGAGCATTTAAAACGCATCCATTTCTTCCAAAAAAGTCTTCAATGTTTTCTATAAAATGTAGTTTAGCATTCTTTGTTTTCAGTGTATAAATAAGTATTTTCAGTGCCGTTATTACATCGTTTTTTGGCGATCCGGATTTTATTATTCTGTTTGCGCATGCAGGATCGTGCTTCTGAGATGGATCCCGTAGTGACAGGGACCTCCTGACCTCCCTAAACTAAATGGTTGCCCATCATCCTTTGCGTGACAGGACGTACTGGCACAGTCCACTGCATGCACTTCAACAAAAAGACATAATTTTTTCATGTATTCAATTAAATTAAATTCAGTTTAGTTCTATAGTGCCAATTCACAACACATGTCACCTCAGGGCACTTTACAGTTCACAAGATCATCCAGTCAAATTCATTTGAAGTTTCTATCTAAGGAAAACCAGTTGATTGCATTGACTCATTGACTTCAATCCCTCACACTAAGCATGCTTGTAGCAACAGTGGAGAGAAAAACTCCCTTTTAACAGGAAGAAACCTCCAGCAGAACCAGGTTCAGAGTGAGCGGCCATCTGAGGATCCGACTGGGGTTCAAGTGGGATTGATACTCTGTTTAACACGTCCTAATATTAGGGCCAGGCTAGAGATTTTTTTTGGTTATATAACGAGAATAAAGTCGTAAAATTACGAGTAAAGTCACAATAAGAATAGTCATAAAATTACGAGAATCAAGAATAAAGTCATAAAATTATGAAAATAAAGTCGTAAAATTATGAGAAAAAAGTCACAATGAGAATAGTCATAAAATTAGGAGAAACAAGTTGTATTTTATGACAAATCTTAGAAGAAGCACTTTCATCCCTAAATTGAGGAATGTCGAGCATCATGTGAAGTTAGACTTTGGCTCTGGTTTGACAAATAAGAAAATATTTTAGCACCAGCATCAAATCGGGCAGAAGGTCAAAGTGGTTGCTGATTGGTGGAGCTGGTCAGCCGTTCTATACTGGTCAGAGCTCGAAGCTTTCTTTCTGAAACAGGTTGTTGTATGATTACTTCATTCTCTAAATATTACGACTTTATTCTCATAATATTACAACTTTATTCCCGTAAGGTTACAATTTTATTCCCAAAATAAAAAATTTAAAATCTCTAGCCTGGCCCTAATACTCCGTCGTATAATATAAACCTATTGATATGTTCATGGTTTTATGACAGCGGACTTCAGCCATTTTTAATGAATTTTTGTAACTTTAATTGTCCCCATGGTTATGATGTCCATAAGGCTGAAGGCTGTCATTTTTCAGCAGTCCAGAGCTTCTTTTCCAACCTGCATAGAGATCTTACTGTTGAACTGTTTCCAGTATAGGAGCTACAATTTGAGGCATTCAGGCCTTATTACTATTAATACATTATTGGTGGTTCATTGACCCCCTGTTTGTGTAACAAATGAAAAACTTCTCTTAAAGGAGTCACCACCGAGATATAGGACTTTTTCATGTTGAAACATGTTTCCTGGTATTAGGCGAAATTATATGTTAAAATTATATATATATATATATGTGTGTGTGTGTGAAAATAGATTTTTTCTGGCATATATTAGGCTCTACCTAGTAGGTACTGTTCATGTTATCAGGAAAGTAGATCCAGATGCAGCAGCCTTGATCAATGGCTCAGGATGGTCATTCTGTCTATCTGTGTTCAACCTACTCAGGTCAAAAGATGCTTGTGCCTCTGCATATCTTAGGCTGCTGCGCATTAGACTCCCAGTGGAAAGAGCTCAGATGATATCAGACAATATTAGGAAATTAAATTGTATCTTCCAAATAGTCTACTGTACTCTTCCCCTTGAGCCTGTGATGGAATGGAGACCTGTCCAGGGTGTACCTTGCCTCTCACCCGTAGACAGCTTGAGATAGGCACCAGCATCCCTCGTAACCCAGCTTTGGATAAGCATGATGGAAAATGGATGGATGGATGGATGGATGGATGGATGGATGGATGGATGGATGGATGGATGAACTCTTCCCTTTGAGCCTTTTCTCTGTCTCATTCAGTTTAGCAGGTTTGGTTTGTTTTGTACAGAAAGTCTCTTAAGCAGAGTAGAGTAAATGTGATTTTCATAAAGATATGTTTGTTATGCATGATTTTCCTGCTTTCTGCAGCCCTGTGAAGAAACCAATAAGGATTTCTTTTGCATGGATGGTGATATTAACTAATGCAAATCCTAACTACCTCTTTAAGGCCCCAAACTTTAAATTGGACTTCTGACAGCAGGAGACGCCATGAAACGTCATGAAAAATCTGCTAGAACTCTTGCTTACCGGCCTCGATTTCCTCAGGGGTTTTCTTTTTCTTTGGTTTTGTCTTCTCCTCTACTGCAACTTCAGCTGGCTCGTCTGACAGTTCCCTTTCCTCTTCTGTCCTTGGTCCGATCAGTCCTTGGGGTTCTCTCACCTGAGCCTGGACTCTTGAAAGCTGCTGCTTCTCCACAGGTTCTTCAGTGCTGACCAGAACCCAACAAAGGCTCAGTCCGACCCAGACGACAAGCACTTCAGCCCTCATTTTTCTGAAATAAAGCATGAACAGGGAAAGCTCAAAATAGATTCAAAGACAGCTCAACATCTGACCTGCAGATGCAAGCGAGGCGTCTGGAGATGAGGACATGAAAAGGAAGAGTCTACAGAGTTTCCTCCTCTCTGATGACAGCCTGTGCAGCAGGAGAAGGAAAACACTGTGAGCTGAAGCTTTCAAAGCAGACGGCTGGCTGTGCACCAGTTTAACACACACACCTCCTTCGCTCCCTCTTTCTTATCCGTCATAGCCCTTCACCCCCTCTTTCCCCTTACCCGTCTCTGAGGAGAGGAGAGGGGAGGAGCATCAGTGATCTGACATTCCTGTGAGGAAGAAGGCAGAATGGGGGGAAAGGAAGAACTGAAGGAAAGTGACTGTTTAGCTGTAAACATAAAAGATGGACTCATCTCTGATTTTTATTTGATGCTTAAGGCTAATTAAGCAGTTTCTAGATTCACAAGGGAAATAAATATTTTGTTATTTCCTTTGTTAAAAACTTAATGACTCAAAGTGAAACTTTGATTATGAAAAACTCCTTCAGGTTGATGATTTTGTTGATAGGGCTGCTAGTTCTCCGTGTACAATGCAGCCCCTTTTGAAAAAGAAAAGCTTTTAAAAATAATAAGCTGACTCTCTGGTTTAATGCAGAGCAGCACACTGTGAAGCAGATGACCCTTTGTAGAGCAAGAGCAACATATTTCTCCCCTTTAATAGAGTAGAATAAGAATAATCCTAGATACCTTTTTAATACAGTCACCAAACTTACCCAGAGCCATAGCTCTTTGGAACCGTCCATCCCACCTGCTTTTAGAGGGAAGGATTTTATGGAGTTCTTTATAAATAAGACTAATTCTATTTTAAAAAAAGATCACTAGCACTTCACTAACTATGACTGGTTTATCTTTAGAATGTGAGGCAGCATCTGAGGTAGCCATAGAAACTGAATTGGGTTTAAACTGCTTTGATCCAATTGAACTTTCAGAGTTAGCAAAACTATTGTCTTGATCTAAACCTTTAACTTGTATATTAGATCTAGTACCATCCAGGTTATTAAAGGAAGTATTCCCTTTGATCTCCTCCATTTTAGATGTGATTAATCTCTCCATGTTACATGGATATGTACCTCAGGGTTTTTCTCCCATATAAAGCCTTAAATGGCCAAGCTCCATCTTATATCAGATATGATTGTTCCTTATGTTCCTAACAGAGCACTTCACTCTCAATCTGCAGGTTTACTAGTGGTTCCTATAATTTATAAAACTAGAATGGGAGGCAGATCTTTTAGTTATCAGGCTCCTCTCCTGTGGAACCAACTACCAGTTTTAATCTGTGAGGCAGACACCTTGTCTACTTTTAAGACTAGGCTTAAAACTTTCCTTTTTGATAAAGCTTATAGTTAGAGTGGCTCAGGTTATCCTGAGCGTCTCTATAGTTATGCTGCTATAGGCTTAGTCTGCTGGAGGACATAGGGACCCCGTTTTATCATCCTGTTTTATTCTATCTGTATTCTAAAATTCTGCAGTGTTTGTTAGTTAAATCTCTAACACTTGTCTGCCTGTCTGTGTGTTTCCTGGACGGGGCCGCCTTTTGCAGCTGCTTTTTGTATCTCTGCTTCTTTCTGCTTGAACCCCAGTCAACCTCGACAGATGGCCACACTGAGCCTGGTACTGCTGGAAGTTTCTTTCTGTTAGAAGGGAAATTTCCTCTCAACTGTCGCTACAAGCATGCCTGGTGTGAGGGATTGCCTTCAAGTCAATGAGTCAATGCAATCAGCTAGCTTTCCTTTGAACCAATCTGACTGTATGATCTGGTTGAATTGTCTCTGTAATGTGCCTCAAGATGATATGTGTTGGTAATAGGCGCTCTATAAATAAACAGAATTTTACTGTACACCTCCAGGACTTGACGGTGAGCTGAAAATATTGCAGCTGACCCGCTCTTACCCTCAGCACAAATAGTTTCAGACTCTCCCCTCTGAAAGGAAGGTATGGTCCATCATGACCAAATTCTCTTGGGAAAAAAAGCAGCTTCTTCCAGTCATGATCAACCCTCGGGTCTCCCAGTGACACTTTTACCTTGAAAATAATTGTATGCATATTTTCTATATATGCTATGTTGTGCTTCCTCTCCAAAACATTGCTCTCTTATTCCCTGGTGTCTTAATTTTCTTTAACAACTTGCATTTATTTATTTTACTTTGTCTATTTTCAATAGTGTTGTGCCGATGCCATTTTTTGGCCCCGACACCTGGCTGTGCAGTATCGGCCGATACCGATACCATAATAATGTAAAATAATTGCCATCATGGCTTTGTCAAGCTGCTGCCTACCTTTGTGAAGCAGGAAAAAATCTAATACAAAGTGAATCCAGTAAAACTTTTTATTGCCTACCTGGAATGGGTGACAATAGTTGAATAAACTTATGGCTCTCAAAATGGTATAGGTGCCCTATTTGTTGGTACTCGCCACCACCATTGGTGGTACTCGATACCACCATTTTGTGTAAAACACTACTTGATAAAGCCTTTTCTGACTCTTTTTCTTCTGATACTTTATTAGAGAGGCTCCTCCATACTCACTGTAATACAGACCTCTACAGAACATCTTTACCATCCACATTAATTAACATCTATAGTGAATCATTGCTTCCACGCCTGAATATAAGTTGTTAGAATATTTATTTTACCTAATTATTAAGAGAGTAATACTGTTCTGAAGAAGCAGGACTCTGAGAGATGCCTTTCTGTGATATAAAAACTTCACATCTGTATCTTTTGAAGTTTGGCAAAAACAAAGCAATTTCTTTAATTTAGGGATCTCAGCAAACAGATGTTTAAAAAATGTTATTAGTCATCAGAATCATCAAACAGGAACCTAAAAAAAAACACATATCCATTCTTGTCAGTCCTTGACAAATATCGCAGCTGGAGAACAGAGGTCTTCTTCATCTGTTTCAGTTTTTCCTCCATATGTGAAGATTTACTCATTGGTGAAGGTGGAGTTAGAATGGATTCACAGAGTCTCTTCAGGAGGACTACATATGTCAAAGTTCATAACAGGGGTTCAGAAAAAAGATTAATATTAGGCAGAAGGTTGAGCTTCTAACCATGAAAGTTTAACCTGTTAGACCAGATGGTTTAAGAACTACTTTTCCACCTAAAACATTTGAAGCTAATTCCATGCTGTCTGATAATTCTATAAATGGTAAAGAGAACTGGGCCGCCTTTACAGCTGCTTTTTGTATCTCTGCTTCTGTCGCCTTGAACCCCAGTCGGCCTCAGCAGATGGCCGCTCACACTGAGCCTGGTTCTGCTGGAGGTTTCTTCCTGTTAAAAAGGAGTTTTTCCTCTCCACTGTCGCTACAAGTATTTATAGTTTGAGTGAATGAGTCGATGCAATCAACTAGATTTCCTTAGACAGAAAACTGTGAATCAATTTTACTGTCTGATTTGGTGAACTGTAAAGTGCCTTGAGATGACATGTGTTGTGAATTGGCGCTATAGAAATAAACTGAAATGAACTGAACTGGTATTAGCACTGATTCAGCGGCGGTTCTAGACCACATTGCTTTCGGGAAGCCAGGATGGGGTCGTTTTTTTTTTTATTTCTTATGGGGCACAGATAAATCATGAAACAAAAAAAAAGGTTCATAGTTTAACATTTAAAACATTTTAAATGAGCCGCAAAACCAAAAGAGCCACTTGTGTCTCTGCGCTGAATGAAGTAGGACAGAATTTAGTTGATTTAAAATCGGAAATTTGTATTTTTGTCTTCAAAATGTTTACTTTACTTAAAATTAAAAAAATTCTTTACCATGGATAAAAAGCAAGTGAATTAAGTAGTTGCTAAAAAAAAAATACCTACATCAAAACAAAATGTGAAAGTGTTACATGATGTCACTAACATTTGTTAGTAAATGTGACCTTACAGTCTCATTAGAATCTGCCATTTTTTTGTGTTTTTTTCAAACACCGAATTTTTTTAGCACCGAATTCTAAGCACTGCCTTTTTTTACACATTGAATTCCTCACACTGATTTTTTGTTATAACAACCAGACTGATTAGATGGCTGCCTATTAGTAGCTACCTGACAATTTGTGATCATATCTATTTAACAAGAAAAACTCCTCATTCAGCTTCATTCAGCCGGGAACAAAGCTATGTCCAATTGTCCAGAACATCTAATAGGAAGTCGCTATGATGAGCTCTAAAACCAGACTGAAACTTTTCAAAAAGTTCATTATGGTGTAAGTGGTCACACAATTTAGGAACTATTTTCTCAATAATTTTAGATAAGAAAGGAAGATTTGATATAGGTCTATAATTTATTAAGTCATTTTGATTAAAAAAATGTTTCTCGTGGAAAGTTTTAACTAAGAATGTAAACCGTGTTTGCAAATTGTATTTAATTTTTGTTAAATTGTCCAACATAATTCATTTTTAGTTTCACACCTATCTCAATACCAATAGAAGGCCAGCAACAGGCAAAAACTTGAAGTTCTAAAACATCTATCATTCCCTCTATTGTTCTTTTTGTCAGGACTCCTGTCTTTGTGTTTGTGTTTCGGTGTTTGTCTCCCTTCATCCACCAGGAGGCGCCTGGTTCTGGTCCGCCTCCTCACACACCTGCTGATGGTTTCCTCGTTAACGGAGTGTTCTTAAAGGAAAATTCCGGTTTTTAACACTTTTAGCCCATTTTCTGTAGTGTCCAGGATGAAATCGAATGATCGACACCAAAATTTTGACGATTGGTCCTGTCTCTGCTATTTGGCTCATGCAGAATCCCCCCCTGGCTGCTTCAGAATGGCTTCCATAGTGCATGTCCGATAATGTCCTTAAAACAACCTTAAACGTTCTTTTTTTTAAATATGCTACTCACCAGGTCGTCAGCGCTGTTCAATGACGTTCCAAAAAAAAGTTTCGTGAAGAAAAACCGTTCCTGTCTTGTTTTATTTAGCATTTTGTAAATCCCAGAACAATTTTTTCCGATACATCACAACCGCTTATAAACTTCCGCTTCCCGTTCGAATCTGAAGCGTTGCACACTCCAGACCACTAGTTGGCGACGGTATCCTCTACCGTCAAACTCAAAGTCCAATATGTCCTCCTCAAGAATCCACCTTTCGTATTCCATTTTCAGAGTTTTTTTAAAGTGTTTAACAGAGACGTTAGCACCTCGACGTCGGAGTACACAGAGTGAAGCAAAAACACTTGGG